TCCACCTTGTCCACCAGAACCACCTCGGCCACCTCGACCGCCCATCATTTGGTTGCCACCAAAACCTCCTCGTCCACCTTGTCCACCAGAACCACCTCGGCCACCTCGACCGCCCATCATTTGGTTGCCACCAAAACCTCCTCGTCCACCTTGTCCGCCGAAGCCGCCTCGGCCACCTCGGCCACCTTGACCGCCCATCATGCCGTTTCCGCCAAAGCTATTCTGCCCCTGTTGATCGTACTTCATACCACCGAAGCCACCACTCATTCCTGGAAAAAAAAGAAATTCAGAACATCTCAAATAATGCTCTTTTTTCCATGGAAAGCAAACCACAAACCTTGTTGACCACCGAAGCCACCGAGGCCACCAAAGCCACCAAATCCTCCACGACTGCCCTTTCCTCCCATGAAGCCACCAGATCCTCGTGGGGGATGTGGAGGTCGAGGTCTGGCTGAATCCATTGCAAACTTGACAACGTGGAACAGCTGAAACTTATTGCGTAATCCACAAGTTTATATACTTGATATAGCGTGGTAATGCCAAACCTGTGGATTTTCGGCACTCAGATTACCCAGTGCCTGGAACATATGGATACGAGTCTGATCTTCGTTATCCATGATAGCCGAGACCCTTTGGAATTCCTCGAGCATTCCGTTGATCAGTCTGGTCACATTTTGCTTAATTTCAGCCTTGATCCTAGTCATGTTAGCGTTGAATTCCTCTACTTGGTCCTGAAAGTACTGAATTAAGGGCACTGGATCTTCTATGGCTGCATTCATCCTTCAAAGGTTTTCGCCAGCCCAGGCAAGGCGAAGCCTAGGCTGATTGTATAGGCGGAGACCATTAGCCTTCCTATTAGCGCGCCATCCTTCTTCGGCGGTGAAGACGTGGCATTCACCAATGAAGAAGTCACGATCAGTCTCTGTCTCCACCCCTTGCCTGAGGCGCGGACTGTACCCTCGAGTGTAGAGCTAAAAAACTCACCCGAATTCCATACTGAGTACCCCAAGCCAGGATATCCTGCTTTTGCTGAGCAATAGTCTTGTTCATGTTCTTCAGTATATCGAAGTACTCCTTTCGAGCTTCACTGGAGACATTTCTCAGGTATGGGGGTGGTGGTGGTCCATGATGACGACGATGATGGCCAGGAGGGCCCCACCGTCCACCTGGACCGAATCGTCCACCAGGGCCTCCTGGAGGACCCATGTCATCATCAGGACCCATTCCATCAAGACCCATGTCGACAGGACCATCCATGCCGGTTTGGTCGAACATGCCGAGATCGGCACTCAGAACTGCGCCAATAATAGCCAGAATAACGAACGTAGAATTCATTCTGAAAAATATGAAATCATTATTCAGAAGTGTTATGATAGAAAGGTGGCCTAATAGAGGTCTCGATAT